TTTGTACCTTTCTTGACCTATTTATTCTGGTGTTATTTTGTGTAAACATCTGTATAAAGTTTTACATATTACAGGTTGTATACGAGTTTTCATTGATTCATACTATTTTGAATGTACAGCATTGGCATTCCTTCTCATTATGAATAAATACTTGAATTTATTTTTACATACTACAGTTTCTACAACTTTTATTTCATACAGTTTTGTAAGTACAGTATTGATGTTCCTTCGTATGATGAGTAAATATTTGAAGTAATAATTTTCCTATACTGAAAGTGTAGTTCTGATGGACACTTAACTCCTCTCACATACTTAACTATTCTCATTTAGTGCTGCCCTCTATATGCCAAAACTTTTTTCACATGGCACAAGCTTTGCACTCCCATATACCCCATGATCATCATGGTTGAACTGTCTCAAATGTGCAGATCATCATGTGACAACCCTCCACCAATAGAAGTGTAACATACCATTCTGACACATGACTATCTCTATTCGAATATAATGAACTATCACTTCGAGTTTAGGCAGTGGTTTTCAGTGGACAGAATAGGTGGGAAATGAAAGAAGAGATAAGTACCTATCAAGAAAGGCTGTAGAAGAATAATCTACGGACAGTAATGTGGGGGGAAGCTAAAATGAATGTGCTCCCAGTGTAGAGTGGCTAGAACTGGATCACCTCAACCAATTACTTGCACCCACACCTTCAGGACAGAACTGCACAGAAGCTTGGTACAACATCAACTCCCAAAGCCCACGGTACAGAGATGGAGCACATAAATGGAGTACCAGTATCATCTACACCAGAAGAACACCACCATCCTACTCTCTACTGAATGGATTTTTAGTATTTTTGTTTATTATTGTGTGATCACATTCAAGAGGACTCCTACAAGGTCCACCACCCCAGCAGCTCTGAACTGGAAAGTAGCAAGGACTCCCATATTCCACTATAAGAACATGAGAGGATGAAACGCAGTGAGAGTCCAGAGGAATGCCAACACTGGAGAGTGTGCAAAAGGTGACCATGAAAAATGCTATTATGAAAAGCAGAACACCCCTGATTCACACAATCTAAGGGATGGGCAGTTATTCCCTACTGCTTTACCCATGTAAATCCATGGGTTAGTATGGTCCGGAACAGGCATATTAAGGAAGCAAATATATTGCAAAGGAAAAACCTATAAGCAATTTTGTGGAACACCCCATCTCAACAGTGTGTGTTATAGGCCATGGGTATATTGTATTTCATCATGGCTGTACAGCACGAAATTGAAAGATATTAAGTATACCTGGACAGGCACCACTTGCCACAGAGCTGGATCACAATGATTAAAAAAGGGGGGACATGCTTCTGAAAGGAAATAAAATATGTATGAAAATACAACTTACCCAGTCATAGCCTCACTAAAGTTTGAAGGATGGGAACAGGTGGAAGATAGTACCCAGACAACGAAGAAACAACCACCCAATAATATAGTGGAAGATGAACGTATGACGTGTAGTCTACATACCCGACTGAAGAATTTCCTCCAACGAACAATGGAGGTGAGACGTCAGAGAAAAGGTAAGGTGGATGATTTCATGTGAGGACACCTGGAACAGATTTCGGGAAGAAAGAAACAAGGATGAATATGCCAATTGAATCAAAAGCTGAACCCAATTGGTAAGGGTAGAAGGAGCAAGGTCACAAACAGAAGAATGTTGCCAGGGGATGAAAAGGCAGGAATGGGGACCAAGGAAGGAAGCCGTGTAGGCAATGTAACAATGAACAGCACATACAGGACATAGAAGTCTATCCAGAACCACCAAAATATTGGGGAGGAAAGGTTGATCTGGATAAAACAGAACATATATGGAATGGTACAGGGTGGGTAAAATGTCGATGATGCTCACAGGCTAATAGGAGTAGGAAATAAATCTTAAGGGACAAGTGAAACAAAGAACAGGAGAACAAAGGTTCAAATGGAGGTAGAATAAGGCAGTGAAGAACCACACTAAAATTAAAAGTACAGATCTTTTTAAGTTATTTAAGATTAGATTAGGTGAAATAAGTAATAATGATAATATAATTAAAATGGTTCATGAGGCACGTACGCGAGCAGCTCGTGGGTAATGTAATTCAATAGTGTAACGTTAGCTGCATATTCCCCCGAGTGATTTACAACTTACAATGGCATGGATAGCAGTTAGACACGGTTCAAAGGGCAATAAAATTTAATTATAAATAGATGTATAATGTTACAAACTTAGATCTACTTAGGATAAACAAATGTAGTTTCATGTTACAATCTGAAGTCATACTAGAAAGAAAAGAAGGTTAATTTAGGTTTATTTTGATTTTTTTTGGTGGTTACAAGGTCGGTCGATTGACCGATCCCATTTTGAGATTAGGGTAGAGAAAATAACATATAAACTATAAGGAGTTAGTGAAAAAAACGTTTGAAATGTATTTAGGAGGTTTTGGGGATTACACAAAGGAAATTTGAGATTTTTGAGATGCCGAAAAGTATTTTTAATTTTAACATGAAAATTACTTTGCACATGGATGCTAAATATATTCATGGACAAAACTTTATTTTATTTTATTAAAAGTACTTCACTAACAAATATGACTTTTTGTATGTGTTATAAGTATTAAATCTATAAAGACTTTAACTCTTCCGACACGGGGTCGGTCAATTTGACTGAGTCACATGACCTTCTGTACTCATTTAAAGTTGACATAAATTTAATACTTATAACTCTCTATATATTTGGTATATCTTCATGAAATTTGGCAGTCTTTCAGTTAACATTACAAGTCTTTCACATAAACTATTGAATTACATTACCTACGAGCTGCTCACATTCGTGCCTCATGAACCATTTTAATTATTTTACCTAATATAGACTTAAATAACTTAAAAAGATCCATATTTTTATATTTTAGTTACTTTTATAATAATAAATAGAGAATAAATATGAAAACATGAAGTAAAGTACTTATCCAATCTTTTTTTTCTTGCTCTCGATTGTCGAGGACAGTTAAGCCTAATTTTTTATAGTAATGATAGTAATGCACTTAATTTTTATTTAATTAAATAATGCACCAAAGAATATAGGCTAATAACATGCAAAAAAGAGACAAATTTCCTTACCTCTCAAAATATTGCTGGCTTTCTAA